ATGTCAATTTATCAATTTAAACGAAACACGTTCATCGTCTATGTAAGTTATATGTATCCCCCCACTCACGCTTGGACTCCGCTCCCCGTGATCAACAAAACAATACAGACAACTGTGAACTAACACTATTGAAAACAAATACAAACAACTCAGACATCCAACAGAACAATCATCTTTTCAATAAAGCCCGCTTCTTAGTTGTCACTGTTCTCTCAATATCATTCTTGTATCCCATCCACCACAAGCTAAATCACACAGAACAACAAACAACAATGCTCGCACGCTCAACATCACCAAACCCATCCATCACCGTCCAACCAACACCATCTCACATCCTGGTGGCGGTAGACGAGTCCACACACTCCATTGCAGCACTCTCCTGGTGTTTTGAATACCTTGTAAAAACTCCACAAGATAAAATCAGTGTTGTCTGTGTTATCTCATCAGAAGCTGAACGATTAGCGGTATGTTCTCTTTCCATTCTTCACTTTACTCTTCATTTCCCTTCTAAAATATATACTAACCTCAAAACAAAACAAAATAGACCACATCCCGTCTACAATCCCTCCTCCGCGCCCTCCTCTCACAATACCCACTTCTCCCACAAACAATATCCCTAACCATCCACACACCCATCGGATTCGGAAACCAAACCGGCCCATTGATCTGTTCCCAGGTTGAAAAATTGAAACCATCAATGATGGTTATTGGGTCTGCGGGGAAGAGTCATATGGAGGGAATGATGATGGGGTCTGTTAGTAATTATTGTATTATGAATGCTGCGTGTCCTGTTGTTGTTGCTAGGTTGACGAATGGGGAGGAGAAGAGGAGGGTGAAGGGGTTGTTGAAGTGAGAAGTGAGAGGGTGTTTTTGGGACGGGGGATAATTGTTGGCTGGTGGGAGTTAGTTTGATGGGATTTTTCGGGTATGGGCATTTGTATTTTAAGAAATGCTCTTCACTCTTTTCCTCTTGTGCCATTCTTTCTTGGGTTTTGCTGTTTTTCCTCTTTTGTCATTTTATGTTATTAGTTTTGGTGTTTTTCGCGTTCTTAGTGAGGTGTTTACATATTAATGTTGTTAATTTGTAGTTTTAACCTTTGGCTTATTTCATTTCATGGTTTTCTTTTGTTGTTATATAGCACCTCATCACTCTTCTTAAGTTGTTTTAATTAGTTCTCTGCATTGTTTTGTCTAGTTTACCCATGTTATTATTATCTAGTCATTAAAATCTATTTTTCATTAATATCTACAGCACTCATTTGCCTCGGAGACCAGTGTAATTATCATGCCTTTTTGCCTGACGCGTATACTTTTTGAGGGATGGTGGTGCGGCGCGTGTGTTTGTGTTGATTTGTGTTCAAATTTGATTGATGATCAAGACCCCGAAACGTACGACTTTGTTGACGGTCCATGACGTTGGGTGAGTGCCTATGAATGTGGAGCATGTAGTAAATCGGGTGATGAAAAAATTTGTGTTGGAAAAAAAAGTGCAAAAAAGTCTCGTTCACATTCACCAACCATGACTTTCTTACCGTCCATCTCCGGGACGGCGAGATGCCGCATCCTTCTTTCAAGAACAGTATCAGCATCATCATCATCAACATTCTCACCAAGATCAACATCAGGTAACAATGAAACGAAAATGTTCATAGTAAAACTTACTCGTGGTGGTTGGGTGTGTGAGTGCAGCTGCCAAAGTCCTAAGAAAACGGACATGTCAAACTAATCCAATGACTCATTGGAAGGGATTGTGTTATTTGAACAAAGAATTCGGGGATATACACATGGACCGGTTGAAATGCAAATAAGAGTTTGTTTCGTTAGAGAAGGGGGGGGGGGGTCCGTAGCAGCATTGCACCAAAGTCGCAATGATCAACTTCAACAGTTGGAAACAATCGCGGATGATGTAATGAGTACATCTGGAAAACACCCCGATTTCCCGGAACCAACCCGAAGCAAACTTTACAAACCCTTGTTCAAACCCTTGTTCGTCAGTTATTCTAACTTACTCTCTTTCCAATCTCATTCATGAACTCATTGATTACAGTTCGATTCCCAACCAGTGTCCGATCGTATGCATCAGGTTCTCATAAACAAAACCAGATCCCAGTCGAAAAACCAAACTTGCTTCCATGGGGTGTTTTTCTTTCAGTTCTCGGTGTTGGATTGATTGGTGGTGCTTTATATACCTCCAAAAAGGATTCAGTTGTATGTAATTGATTGTGTTGAATCCAAGATGAGACTCTTTTGTTGATCTTGTCACTAACCAATACCCTGTCGTTGTTGACTCCTTCACATCATGAAAACAGCCTCAAATGGAAGCAGCCCAACCAACCCAATCAACATTCAAATCCTACAAACTGTCTAAATCCTCATCAAAACAACAACCAACACCCGAACCCGTCGTCGTCGCCACTCCTGAACCCGAACTCCCCATGCGAGAACGTATGGCCAAACTCGTCAAATCCCTGCAATCAGAAATCGTAGCAGCCCTGGAACAACTGGAACAAGACCCCACCGCAATCCATTACAGTATTGAAACGTCAGCAACAGACGCCGTCGTACCACCACCCACCACTTTCCGTCGCGACGTTTGGAAACGTGCCGAAGGTGGTGAAGGAATCTCGTGTGTGTTGCAGAATGGGAAAGTTTTTGAGAAGGCTGGTGTGTTGGTTTCTGTTGTTCATGGAACTGCACCTGAGAGGTTGATTGCGCAGATGAAGAGTAGGGATTTGAGAAAGGAACTTGAGGTTGGGAAGAAGTATGGGATGTTTGCTGCGGGGATTTCGTTGGTTGTGCATCCTGTTAATCCGAATGCTCCTACTGTGCATTTGAATTATAGGTATTTTGAACTTGTTGATGAGGAGAGTGATGCTAAGGAACCGGTTGCTTGGTGGTTTGGAGGTGGTTCTGATTTGGTATGTCAATATTTATTTTTACTTTTTTTCGCTTGCTTTCAGGGTCTTTTCTTGTCATGCTTGTTTTTTCTTGTCATGCTTGTTGCTGCTTTATCTAACACCAACGTATCTCATTGCACTTTACACCTGAATCATAGACCCCCTCATACCTCTACGAAGAAGACGCCACCCACTTTCACCAAGTGATCAAAACTGCCTGTGACAAACACGACCCGTCATACTACCCACGCTTCAAAAAATGGTGCGACAAATATTTCGATATCACCCATCGTAACGAAGCTCGTGGAATCGGTGGTATCTTCTTTGACGATCTTGATGGGAATGAGAGGCCTGCTAATGAATTAATTAAATTTGTGGAGGATTGTGGGAGGAGTTTTGTGGGGCAGTATGTTCCTATTATGGAGAAACGGTTGGGGATGCCTTTTGATGAGGAGATGAAGAGGTGGCAGCAGTTGAGGAGAGGGAGATATGTTGAGTTTAATTTGGTGAGTAATCTAATATCTGTTTTCTACTTTTGTTCGTCGGTATTTTTTGTATTCTTTTTGCTCATAAGTTGGTTTTTTTGAAATATCAAACATGTATATAGGTTCACGATCGTGGAACCAAGTTTGGTTTGGCGACTCCTGGTGCTCGTATTGAGAGTATCATGTGTAGTTTACCTTTGACTGCTAGATGGGAGTACTCTCATGAACCTGAGGCTGGTAGTCCTGAAGCTAAATTGATGGAGGTCTTGAAGAATCCTAGAGACTGGGTTTAAACCTCTTTTTCGGTTGACTTACTTGTGCTGGGGTTCTCGTGGGAGGTGGTTTTGGTGTTTTTGGTTATTTCCCTTTTTTGGGTTGCTTTGATGTAAGGGAGGGGTTTGTTTCCTGTTGTGCTTAAGTTGCAAAAAGGACTTTTATTCTTTTCTGTATTCTGAGCATTTCATCTTGTCTTGGGCCGGTATATCTTTAGTCTGTTCTTTTTCTTCTTTAACTCGCCTGTAATTTGTTTTGTATTGCTTGTGGTCCTGTCATTACATCCAGATTGCCTTGGTTAACTGGGTGTACCGCCTTTGGCAACTCACAATGTTATGTTTTATGTTGTTGGCGGGTTGATATCTGCTCACCATGATAGTTTTCTGTTTTCTTTTTTTGCTTTTGTGCTTTTTTGTTTTTGGGTTGTTTGTTCTGTTCGTTGTTATTGTTGATCTGATCTACTTTGTTACTGCAATCAATAATCAAGGATTCGATTATTTGACTGTTGAAAACATGAATGGTTTTGTATGGTTTTAATTGAAGGTATCTCGGGAATAAATTGCTTTTAGCTCTCCCTTTTCTACCAGAAAGTATGATAACACGAATATGCCACGCAAAATGCAGGAATATGATTCCGTTGTTGTTTATGACGCAGTTTATTAGCAACTCTTGATTGTTTTTGTCACAACTTTAGCAAGCAAGTAATCAGTTAGTGATTTCGACAGGCTTTGTTCACGGCCACTGCCTTGCTCAAACTCACATCTCTTCCTTACATGTTTTCTCAGGATTTGCTAAATAATACCGGAAGCCTTTATCAACACCCTTCAATTCGCAATGAGACTGGGCTTCCCGAAGTGGATCAAACTCAACTTCCACGCCTGCATATGCTGGCAGGAAATAATGCCCACGCGAATTGTGATTCAACTTGAACAAGATTTGCAACGTATCTCTTGGAACCAAAGTTTGACCTTGAAACAAAGATACTTTAATATAGGTACACCGGATATCCTGATCGGGAATCCATGAGTCAAACCACAAGGGAGTGCACATAGGCTGAAGCAAGGGGTAATATTCGATTGGAATAATTATATTGATGGACTGCATGATAGGAAGTAAATGAAGAAAAAATAAAATGTCGTCAATAATGTGGAATTCTTCCCCAGCATCAACACGAGGAGGACGACACCAGAATGCACCATACACCAAAGATGTCGACATTGTTAAAACACGCATAACATACGCAAAAATAATGCTACAGACATGAAACTAGCACCAAACGATGCGCTATCGGGTGATGTCGAAAAAAATAAAAATTGATATGGAAAAAAGAAAAAACTTACAGAGGTGCACCTGTCCAGGGTCGAACTGGAGGCCTTTTCCGTGTAAAGGAAACGTGATAACCACTACACCACAGGAGCTTGTTGTGTCGCTTAATTTTGGACTTTGTCTTAACCGCAAAGGCTATGAATGATTCGAGTCAACCTCTGGTTTTTCGAGCTTCGTTAAATTTTTCGAAGTTCAAAAAACATCCCCTCTTTTTCGTTGTCGCCATTGAAAAATGAGCGGATTGCCATCATCAGCAACATTAAACTCACCAGCCATGGTATGTTTGTTTGTCGATCACATGGAGGAGCTAGGGTGGTAGTTTCCTAGCTCCCTGATATCCTTTTGTTCTTCTTTGGCTATTTTGGGAGTATCCAATGTCTTTGACATTTAGTGGAGGGAAAGGAAACCAAATGAAGACAGGATATGAACAGCTAAAAGTTGGGAGACCATTTTATCAAAAGGGATAGTTGGGACATCAGTAGCTGCATTCTGGATAGTATAAAGTTCATATTTACAATACCCAAAGTGAATGCTGACATTGCAAACACTTCTACTATCAACAAAAACGCAGAATCAACTGGGTGGCCCACCGAACGATGTGCATCGGGTGATCGATCTGTTAGACAAGACCAACAGACTGTCACTGGAAGTATGGTCAGTAATCCAATCACTTCATGAGCGAATGGACGGTGGTGGGAAAAGTGGACGAAAACGCGGCAGAGCAGATGTTGTATCATATGAAGTGAGTTGATTCTCTGCTTTCTCTTCCTTCTCTTCACATTATTTCGATTACCGCACTAACGAATGAAAAAACAACGAATGGATACAACGAATGGACACAACAGGTCGACAACACCCAATCATCAACAGAAGAAGACGACAGCATGCCATTCCCAGATGGAATGATCGGACTGGAATGTCCACCGGGCCCAACTGGCGACATGATCGGAAGATTCCACGCCTTGATCCAATCCCTTCGACTAACACCCTTATGGGATCGAGCATTAAAACCACTGGAACAAGACGATGCATACCTACTATCGCATCGCACAAGACAGTTATACACCGCCATGGACTCTTTATCAAACTTAAACCCATCAACAATACGACCCACCATTTTACATAAAGCTGTAAACGATTTAACACTGGATCTCGGAGCTTCACCTGCAAGATTACGAAGAAGACGGTCACCCTCGGTATTGAATACCCCTGGTTCTGATAGTGCTTTTTCATCATCGTCACCGGCATACTCGTTCCCAGGTGGTGTTTCACCAAGTTTGAGTCTCAGCAGTATGTTTTCAAATGACTTTCCTCTGTTTCCGCCCAACGTCGCTGGTTCGATGGGAGGAGCTGGAGCAGGAGGAGCAGGCGGATCTCCAGTACCACCACCGAAACCATCAAGTACACTCATGTCAGAAGAAACACTGTCACTATTCTTGGCACATTTACTTCGACCTAATAGTTATGAGTTTGAAGAACGTTGGGTTACAACATGTCCTCAGGTACAATGTAAAACTGAAGTTCAAACACAGTATGTTACATGTCAGTTTTTGGATTTGATGGTTCCTACGGCTGAAGTCGGGAGTAGTGGTGGTATTGATGTGAATGCGATGGGTAATATGCTGGGTATTCCTGGAATGGATTTGAATTCAATGGGGATGGGAATACCCGGATTTGATACCGACCAACAAATGGGAACTCAACAACAACAAGGAATACGACCGGCTACCGATCGAATCTCATTGCAAACTCTGGTTGACAGACGTATGAATGGATATCTTTCTCCATATCGATGTAGAAATGATCGTTGTCCTTATCGAATGTCTGCGGCAAATCAACAATCAGTTCAAGCACCCACACGACCACAGTTAAAAGATCTGCCGGCTCTGTTGTTTGTGTTTCTGAAAAGACCTGATGGAAGTTCAGGGTTAGTTTCCCCAACGAATGGTGGTGTTGGTGGAAAATCAATGAGGGTTTCTTTGGACTCATGGGAGTTTAACATTGCAAGAGATTTCTTCAAGGAAACTCCGTATCGCGTTGTTGCGGCTCTTGTTAGGAATATGAAACCACCGCAAGCACAACAGTCACAACAACCAAATGATAGTATCCTTGACAACTTTGGCGATTATCTCATGGTGAAGCCTGTGTATGATTCTGAGATTGGAGCACAGATTGGAGGGGGGTTGGATGCTTTTGGCGGTGGGTTTGGAAGTCCTTCACCTGGTGGGTCTATTAATAGGTGGATTTTGTGTAGGAATGATAAGATAATGGAGGTTGAAGGGTTGACAGAGGATGATGAAAGGGGGATTGAGGTGTTACTGTGTGAGAATATGAACACCAAACGATAGCACTGTTTGGGTTTCTGGGACATGGGGATGGTGTGGGTGGGGTTTCTTTACCTTTCGCGTTTGTTTCTTGGTTACATCTTTTTATGTTTTCTGGTTTTCTATTCTGTTCGTTATGAGGACTGATTCCTTTTCTTTGCTTTTTTTTTTTTTTTTTTTCTTCTTTCTTTATTGGTATGGGATGTGCGTGTGATTTTGCATATTCAGGGAGAGAATGTGAAAGTAAAAAGTGTACATTTGTTGATGGAATCGTTTTTGATTGTTAGTTGTATGTATTGTTGTTATTCTGATAGCTCGACGAAGAAACGCGTCCGTTGTTTTTAATGTCGTGATTCGAATGGATTGCCAATGAAGTTGACCGTCCAGGTCAGAAAAGAAAAAATTTCCCTTTCCCATTTTGTTCACTGCTGTTGAGGGAGATACCATACTGCTTTCTTGCATCCACCCCCATCCTTTGCCACCAACAACATACATCGAGGTCTTGCGATCACCCCTTGAAACAACACATTCAACGTAAGAACAGCCATATGTCGATTTTACTGCAAAGTTATGGGATGCAGCACATAAGGACGGGGTTGGACTGTTCATTTGCTATTTCTGGAATCTTGGAGATTGATTGCTTTCAGATCGCGTTTGTTTTCCTCGATGTCCATTCGTGCGCCACGATTTCCATAGATATGCATTCTGGATGCCTTGTGAAGGAGTGTATTTGATTGTTGAGCTTATGTATATAGTGATATGTGAACGGATCGGATGGAATAGGCCAAGGATGAAGATACACATCAAAGCTGGGCCGTTCTGATTAGTATTCATCCATGAAAGACCACTGATAACTCATCATATTGCTTCTTTTTGTCCTTAACTTTGTATAGAAGACCACTCTATTAGATCTTCAAAATGGCAACACACACGAAACCCGTTGTCATTGACAATGGAACTGGGTATGTATCTTGTTGTTCTTTTGTTTGGAGGTTGAATCCATTTTGTTGTGTCCACATTGGATATACGTACTGATCCCATTCATCTCGTCCAAACATTGAACGATGCAAAAACCGTCATCTCATCCCATGGGATCTGTCTTTGTGCTGGCCATTACCGGATCTTCTCGTTGATAATACAACATTTTAACCTACAACAATCAAATCCAAAAAGGTACACCAAAATGGGCTACGCAGGTAACAACGACCCACAATTCATCATCCCAACAACAATCGCAACCCGCGACCAAGTAGGAGGATCATCAACAGGTTCAGGAGGCTCAGGAGCACCATCAAGATCAAATACGGTAGCATCATCGAACCTAGCCAGCAAAAGAGGAATTGAAGATCTTGATTTTTATATTGGCGATGAGGCTACTGCCAATTCGCATACTTATGGTGTTAGTTATCCTGTTAGACATGGTCAAGTTGAGAATTGGGATTATATGGAAAAGTTTCATCAGGCTTGTATTTATCAGTATTTGAGATGTGAACCTGAGGATCATTATTTCCTTTTGGTGAGTTGGTTTTTATTCGTGTGTTTGCTTTGTTCTTGTTGGGCATGTTCTTACTATTGCTGACGTATCATACATTATAGACTGAACCACCGTTGAACGCTCCTGAAAACCGTGAATTTACTGCCGAGATCTTTTTCGAATCCTTTGGTGCCAAGGGTATCTATATCGGTGTTCAGGCCGTATTGGCGCTCGCTGCTAGTTGGACCAGTAAGCGTGAGCAAACTCTGACCGGTACCGTTATCGACTCTGGAGACGGTGTCACTCACGTTATCCCTGTTGTAAGTAGATTTAGTACTATTGATCGTATGCATTCTTTTTCTTGTGTTAATTTTTAACTAATAATAACCAGGCTGAAGGTTACGTTATCGGTTCTTCTATCAAACATATCCCTATCGCTGGTCGTGACATTACCTACTTTGTTCAACAACTTTTGAGAGAACGCGAAAACTCGATTCCTCCTGAGGAATCTCTTGAAGTTGCCAAAAGGATCAAGGAAATGTATTCATATGTTTGCCCACGTATCGACAAGGAATTCCAAAAGTATGATGCTGAGCCATCAAAATGGTTCAAGCAACATGAGTTTATTCACTCTGTTACCAAGAAGGTATGTTTACCTTTGGAGTTGTGTTACGCGTTTTTTTGTTCATGTGCTAATAGTAATTTTTTCGCTGTGCTCTGCAATAATAGCCTTACACTATAGATGTCGGTTACGAGCGTTTCCTCGGTCCTGAGATTTTCTTCAACCCTGAAATCGCCAGCTCCGACTTTTTGACTCCTTTACCGGACGTTGTTGACCAAGTTATTCAGTCTTGTCCCATTGATACCAGGAGAGGCTTGTACAAGGTAATATATTTCTGTACTATGGCACTTCTTTTTCAAATTTTAAGAAACCTTTACTAACCATGTTTTCTGTAATAATAGAACATTGTCTTGTCTGGAGGTTCTACTATGTTCAAGGATTTCAACCGTAGACTGGAAAAGGATATTAAGAAGTTGACATCGGCGCGATTGACTTCTTCTGCTATTTTGGCTCAGGGTGCTCAAGGAAAGGAAATTGAGGTCAATGTTGTTCAACACAAGAGACAACGATATGCGGTTTGGTTTGGTGGTAGTTTATTGGCTGATACTGTGAGTTTTATTTTCCATTTCCGTGTCGCGTTTTTGGTGCTTGTTGGTGTTTGGACATTGTTTCACGTCTTATTTGTTACTGATCACGTTTTTGTTTATTTCAAAACAGGCTGAGTTCCACAGT